CCTTCGAGCGGCGCTTCGAGGAGACCTTCGGGCTGGGCCGCAAGGGCTTCCCCCCGTCACAGCGACGCTTCGCCCAGGCCGCCCTCAGCGACCTGCTGGGGGGAATGGGCTACTTCCACGGGCGCTCGCTGGTGCAGTCCCCGCTGCAGGAGCGCCCCGTGCCTGCCCCCGAGGCCGCCCTCTTCACTGCTGTCCCCTCCCGCTCCTTCTTCCCCCGCGGCTTCCTCTGGGATGAGGGCTTCCACCAGCTCCTGCTGGCGCGCTGGGACCCGGCCCTGAGCCGTGAGGTGATCGCCCACTGGCTGGACCTGATGAACGCCGAGGGCTGGATCCCCCGCGAGCAGATCCTGGGGGAGGAGGCACGGGCCAAAGTGCCCCCCGAGTTCCTCCTGCAGCACAGTGAGACGGCCAACCCCCCCACCCTGCTGCTGGCACTGCAGCGGCTGCTGCCCTCCGCCCCCCTGCCCTACCTGCGCCGCCTCTTCCCCCGCCTGCGCGCCTGGTACGACTGGTACAACCGGACGCAGGCCGGACCCCTGCCCCTCACCTTCCGCTGGCGCGGCCGTGACCCCCAGCTCGAGCGCTTCCTCAACCCCAAGACGCTGGCCTCGGGGCTGGACGACTACCCCCGCGCCTCCCACCCCTCGCCCGAGGAGCGGCACCTGGACCTGCGCTGCTGGATGGCGCTGGCCTCCCGGGTGCTGGCAGAGGTGGCCGAGCGGCTGGGGGAGCCGGCCAGGCCCTACCGGGAGATGGAAGAGGCGCTGAGCGACAACGGCCTGCTTGAGCAGCTGCACTGGGCCCCGGAGCTGGGCGCCTTCGCCGACTACGGCAACCACAGCGCGGCGGTGGGGCTGCGCTGGCAGCGGGTGGCACCAGCGGCCCCAGGACAGCCCCCCCCGGCCCCCCGGCTGGTGCGGGAGGTGCGGGAGGCGCCGCGGCCCCGTTTCGTGGGGGCCCTGGGCTACGTCAGCCTCTTCCCGCTGCTGCTGCAGCTCCTGCGCCCTGACTCGCCGCAGCTGCCCGCCATGCTGGCCGCCATGCGCAGCGAGCGGCAGCTCTGGACACCCTTTGGGCTGCGCTCCCTGGCCCGCGACAGCCCCCTCTACATGCAGCGCAACACCCAGCATGACCCCCCGTACTGGCGCGGCTCCATCTGGGTCAACATCAACTACCTGGCCCTGTGGGCGCTGCGCAGCTACGCTGACGCTGAGGGGCCACAGCGGGAGCGGGCGGCGGAACTCTACCACGAGCTGCGCCACAACCTCGTGGCCAACCTGTACCGGCAGTACGCCGAGAGTGGCTTCCTCTGGGAGCACTACAGTGACAGCACCGGCCGTGGCCAGGGCTGCCACCCCTTTGCCGGCTGGTCCGCGCTGGTTGTGCTGGTGATGGCTGAGGACTACTAAGGCTGCGGAGCTGGCCACGGCATGGGCAGCTGCCTGCACCACCAGCCCTGCCCATCTTTCTCAGGTGCGGGTGGAGGCACAGAGCCTACCTCCTCCCCCAAAATAAACCTCCACCACCATGGCCTGTTGCTGCCTCTATTGGGGGGGGGTCACGGCTCTCGCCACCCCCTCCCCCCTTCCTCCCCTCCCCAGCCTGCCACCAGGCTGGGGCAGCACCCCCCGGGCCAGGGCGGGGGGCCATGCCCCCTTGCTGTGGAGTTGGGGGGGCCCAGCTCAGCCCTGGTGCCCGCTCCCCCCACCCCACAGTGTCCCCCAGCAGGCGCAGGGCTGCTGTACTTCCACATCTCTTTAATGGTGAGAGAACGCTACGTGAACCGCCTGGCCCCCGGCGGAGATGGGCCCCCTCCCCCCGGCAGTGGCACTGGCCCCAGGGCCCATGGCACCGCAGCACCGGGACGGGATGGGGTGGGCACAGGGCCCCCGGCAGCTGCAGCCCCCTGGAAGCAGTTCAGAGGGGAGGGGGCTCCGGTGGGACCACGCCGAGAGTGGGGCCACCCCCTCGGGGCCCAGCTGTGCCCCATGAGGTACTGGACATGATGGGGCACAGGGTGGGGGGGGGGTCAGTTGGGGCGAGGGGCCACCGGGGGCTCCGTGTTAAGAGTCCAGACCCCAGGGCAGCACCGGGAGCAGGAGGGAGAAGGCAGCCCCCGCCGGAGTGCCACCTGTCCTGCTCCACCCCACACCGGGCACCCTCTGAGC